CTTAACACCAGAATTTTCTGCTAGTGCCCGGGGAATAGCTTCAAATGCCTCTGCAAATTTCTTAATAGCATACTGTTCAAGTCCAGGACATGTCTAAAACAGAAATGCATTTATTATTATTCTATTTTAATCAAATAAGGGAAAAAAGTCAACTAACAAAAAGTTATACCTCTCCATATGACGTGATCTGTTTGGCCAACTCAATTTCAGTTGCTCCACCTCCAGGTACAAGACGTTTGTCCTGTAATAAATAGAAAAAACACATAGACACGTGAGTTAGTTAAGAGGCAGTCTGCAGTTTAAAAATTTTCCCAGCTTCCATTACTACTACCACACTAAAGTTTTAATCAGACTTTGTTACTTATTGAAATTACAAATGTTCTAAGAGCTGGGTGATCACAGTATTCCAAAGAGGAAAGTCCAAGAACATTAAAAAGAACACAAACACCACTAGGCCTTTATCTACATTTCCATAGCTATAGCACCAATAAAATTTCTTTTGGTGAATAAAGGTCCATTATAATTTAAAATAACCCTAAGCTCTCTGAGACAGTTAAAAACAAAACCAAACAAAAAAATTCCCATGATTTGCAATATATCCTTTGCATAGTCATTTTTAGAACGCTGTCATACTCATCAGCAATGGATATAAAAATTGCTCAGGTGCCTGCCATTAATGTTCTTAAGGCCCTACAACAGTGGTACTCAACCTTCCTAAGGTCACAACCCTTTAATACAGTTCCTTGTGTTGTGGTTACCCCCAACCATAAAATTACTTTTGTTGCTACTGTTATGAATCAGGTGACCCCTGTGAAAGGGTCGTTCGACTCCCAAAGGGGGTCCTGACCCATAGGTTGAGAATTGCTGCCCTAAAGAAAATGATTGCTAATACTCACCCTTGTGAGAACTTTGAAAGTATTAACACCATCATCTACTGCCCTTTCTATATCATCCATTAGATTGTCAGTGGAACCTCGAAGTACTATGGTAGAAATGGCACCATCTTCTTTTTCTGTCAAATTAAATACAGTTGAGAAGATAAAATAAACATCCCAATATATATAAGTAAGATAAAATAAAAAACATCTCTACTGTGATAGGTTTATTGTGCCAAGTAGACCCTCTCCCCATTTGCTCCCTGGTGATTGGACCAGTGGGCTCCTTTAGTTAGTTCTCTGCTTCAACCTGTAGGCTACACTACCTGTAGGCCAAGCCAACACAGGCTCCTGGTGTGTACATTACTGGAGCTTGAGGCTGGTGGATCCTATCACCGCGCTTGAGCTCCAGATCCCATCAGAGCCTGCTTCTATAAGCTGCCGTACTATTGCCTATTGCTGACCCACCCTATGTGATGCCTATGGTCAGACTCTGCCTTCCTTGCCTAGAGACTCTAAAAGATTTGCTTTCTTGACCTTGGGACCGGGTACCCCAGAAGTTAAGCAACTTCCAGTATATTAACTGTTCCATGAAAATTAGTTGAACTGAACCCTTTGTACTGCTGTGTATACTGCTGTATTCCTTCTTGCTGTATAGACCTACACACACACACACACACACACACACACACACACACACACAATCTTAACTATCGTGGTTTTGTTTCTCTAGAGAACCCTACCTAATACACCTACAAACCGGTTTTTACCATTCCTACTCACCATGTTTAAAAACAACCACCTGTGTGTCTCCGACTTCTGAGAGGTACACACTGTCACAATGGCCTATTTCTTCAAGGACAGGAGCAGTCTGGGGATGAAAAAATCATTGTAATAAAAATAAAACAATTCTGTCCAATAATCTTTTATGTTTTCCAAAATACATACCAATCTAGGAAGAGCTGTCGCACCAACTGTTTTACAAAGTCTTCTGAGATCCCATTTTGAATTCAGTCTTTAAAAAAAGCACCCCAAAACAAACTTTAGTAGTTTTAAATGCACAGGTTATACAAGACATTTGCTCTTAAGTCATTCTTTTGAGCGTAGGGTCCAGCCCTGAATGTCTGGATTGTTATGGTGTGCTAAGCCAATCCCTGTATCTGGGAGGGGGACCAACTTGCCAGCAGAGCTCAGTTGTAGGCTTTCATGTTGTTATTTATTCTCAAACTGGGAGTGGAAGTCACTAGAAGATGCCAAAACTCTATAGTGCTAACAAAACAAAACAAAACTTATAGGACTCTATAGTATATAAAAATGTTTACTTGGTGCAACTTTGTTGTGTAAGCAGTGATGCACTGTGCATTATTGTAGGCATTAGCCATGGCAGGAGAGGCAGGAATGAGTAGGCAGGCTTTTTACCTTGTCCTATAATTATGTTTACAAAGTAAAGTGTGTTCTTCACTCCAGCTTAAGGTAAAGCAGTACACCAGGATTGGAATCTACTCAGTTGCAGTAGACTTGGTTCTGTTCAGATTAGGTTAAAGCATCTTTGCATTTGTCCTATCACCTTATACTTTTCCATTCCTAATAGTCTTCACAGTTGGCTGAATAGCCACCAAATAACCATTTATATCATACAGGCTATTAGAACACAAATTTTCCTTACCTAACCAACATGATATTATATTTGTTTGCATAATGAAGAGCCATGTCTGCTACTTTGCCACCAGTTACTATGACATTTGCACCGGTATCAGCAAT